TGAGAGCAAGTTGTTTCTTCACCACTGCAACGCGGTTGCCGCTAAGAAGCAGACGAAACAAACAAAAGACGACATCTCAATTAGCTTTGTCAAGCTACTATTAGTAGCAGTTTATGGTCCCAACCGGTCTCGAACCGGCGACCTTTCGGTTATTAGCCGAATGCTCTAACCAACTGAGCTATAGGACCTGCGCGCTGGCCTCTGTACCTTTCTTTAATATATACCCTTTCGATAAGAAGAGCGAGATAAGTCTGTTATTGACGACTGTTTAGGCGTCAAATACCTGTTGAATCAGATCTCATAAGTTTGTAGAGGCCTGTCTCCGTAAACAAAGTCAGTAACGAATTTGATACACCCAACTTCATCCACGTTCATACACCTCCTGATGTCAGTATATTCTGTATCTACGCCAGGCTCATTCATTGCAGGTAGAAGGAACATAGCAGACAACAAAGCTAAAGCTCCGAGTTGTTTATTCTGAGCTTAGCACCGCCCAGACAGCTGCAGTTGATACTATTCTCCCCCTCGGCTGTTGTTTGCCTTCTTTGTGCATATGTATATGTGGTTGTGGGGAAAAAATAAATACATCATATCTTCATCAACGCGTCCATCGTACGTCTTCTGTCTGCTGGAGCTGCTGCACCGCAGCAGCAGCAGCAACATCTTCATTGCTAGGCTCTAATGCATTTTGAACGATCCGTAATCTTACTATACGCTGTACACTCTATAAAACTTTTATTTTTTCTCAGTAAGAGCTGTCCCTAGAACAGCAGTGATTGCATACACGGGGGGAGGCGTTTTTAACTCCCGAGAGCTCAAAAGTGTATCACAAAAACCACAGAGTAGACGCCAGCATACGACTGATGAGGCCCTTTTAAGGCTCTTCAACGCTGTGAACACACGAGAAAATAACGAGTTATAGAATTATTTTGTTGTGTTTAGCTGCTACTCCGCAGCAACAGCAAAGCAAAAACAAATAGCAAACCCCAGGTGGAGAAGGTGCTTCTATCTTGGGGTTGCATATGAGAAGAGGAAGCAAGAAAAGAGACAGATATAAACAGATGGGAGACACAAGAACATATAAACCCCTGCTCGCTCTGTACAATATCCTAAACTATGGAGGGCTCAGCGCCCTTACTTTGCTTTACTTTGAAGCCCCACAGACAGCCTACCATAGAAACAATGTCTATCCACAACGCCGTAATAACAAACAAATAGAACATAGGTGAAGACGTGTATTTATATTTGTTTACCTATGTATGCTCACATAAATAAACATACTCGCAACTTCATAATTATATATATATATATATATATATATATATAGGCGTTCCCCACTACAGCAAGGAAAACCATACAAGCCCACCAGACGACCACCACCAGCATGAGCAGCAGCAACAGCAGCAACTGCTGCAGCAGCAGCGGCAGCCATAACAGCAAGCTGGTGGAGGCGTTGTATACCTTTCGCCTCTTCTGCATTTGGCTGGTGTATGCTGCTGCATTCATATTTATGATATATGTGTACATGTGGGTTTGAGGGTGAGTAGAAGCATAATTATTTGTTATTGTTATGATATATTGTATCTTGATATTCTTTATTTTGCTGCTGTTTATATGTAGATTTAGTGCTGTATACACACGAATTTAGTGTTTGTATAGTCGTCAAGACAAAGCACTGAGCCTTCTCTCCCAAAGCCTGAGCCTTTACACCCCCCAAAAGGAACTTCACAAGAAGATATACGGGGTGTATTGACAGCTATCATTCCTACGCGTAGCTGCTGCGCAAACCTCAAGACTCTTGCTATATTCTGAGTATAAAAATAAGCAGCAAGCCCTGCTTCTGTATCATTACACAGCTTTGCTACCTCCTCTTCACTCTCAAATTCATATAAACAAACTATAGGAGCAAACAATTCCTCCCTGTAGACACGAGCAGCAGAACTAGCCTCGCGGCAATCTAGCACTGTCACAGGAAAGAAATGCCCCCCACTGCTGCTGCTGCTGCTGCTGCTGCTGCCACCGTTGCTGCTGCTGCTGTTGCTGCTGCTGCTGCCGAGGAGGAGCTTGGCTCCGTGTTTGCATGCGTCTGCGACGAGGCTGTGTGCGCGTTCAACAGCTGCTGCATTGATGAGGGGCCCCACAGAGACTCCGTGCTGTGTGCCTGGGCCTATTTTTTGTTGTTTAAAGAGACGAGTTGCTAGACGCAGAAACTCCGGATAAATGCTGCGGTGTACGTACACCCGATTAGCGCTGATACAGGCCTGACCTGAGCAGCGCAGCTTAGCAGCAACTAACCCCAAGACAGCTTCATCAATATCTGCATCTTCAAACACAACAAAGGGGGCATTGCCTCCCATCTCCAGCAGCAGCCGTTTTGTTGTTGCTGCGCACTGTCTGTACAGCTGGCGCCCCACAGCTGTAGACCCCGTGAACGACAGCAACCCCACAGCGTCATCTGCTGCTACTGTAGCAGAAAACGCTGCAGCACCGGAGCGGCACGAAGGCACAACATTTAATAAACCATCTGGCATCCCAGCCTCTCTTGCTGCTGCTGCTAGAGCGAGTGCTGACAGAGGCGTCTCCTCTGAAGGCCGCAGTACACATGCGTTACCTGCAGCAAGTGCTGCTGCTGCTTTGCGCGCAGCCATAGCAATCGGGAAGTTAAAAGGAGTTATTAAAGCACACACCCCCACCGGCTCCTTCACCGTATACTGCAGCTTGCTGCTCCCGGTGCTGCTGCTGCTGCTGCTGCTGCTGTCTGCTGCAGGTATAACAAGGCCGTTTAGACGCCGCGCCTCCTCTGCACTCCAGCGAATGTATGAAGCAGCATAAAGTACTTCCTGACGGCTCTCTGGGATCGGCTTTCCCGACTCTAAGGTTATTAGATGTGCGAGAGATTCCTTTCTCTCTTCAATGAGTCGGTACCACTGCAGCAGCAAGTTGCTACGCAGCAGCACAGGGCTGCCACCCCACAATGGCTGCGCTTTTGCTGCTGCACATACTGCTGCACGCACCCATGCAGAACCCAGGTTGGGAGTACACCCTATCACCTCCCCTGTACTAGGATCGCGCACATACACATACCGCTCAGGTCCTCCACATACTTCGCTGCTGCTGCTACTGCTGCTGCTACTGCTGCTGCTGGTGCTGCTGCTGGTGCTGGAGGCGGGAAGGGGAGCTGGTAGCTGCTCGTAGGGGTCGCGCACAAGCTGAGACCCAATGATGGCTGGGGTCACTTCAGGGAGGGAGTCCGCAGCCTGTGTGGCGAAGCCCCGTCTGCTGCTGCTGCTGCTGCTGCTGCTGCAGCTACTGCAGCAGCAGCTGCTGCTGCAGCTGTACCTGCTGCAGCGCGTATAGAAGGCCCCCAGACGAACGCCAGCAGCTTGGGGGGCCCCGCAAGCTGCACAAGCCGCCGAGGCGGCATGGGTGAGTGTGTGGATTGTGCAGAGGTTTGATTTATTTTGTGTATTTGTTTGTTGAAATTGCATGCATTTGTTTGATTTATTTAAATAAATAACTTTATTTGTTCTCCCTAATAAAACAAACGAGATATGCGGCAGACGCTCGCGAGCTGCTGGGGGCCGGAGGCGCATGTTGAGTCGGCAGCAGATGAGAGAAGAGAATAAATATCTTAATAATGTTGTTTTGAATATTTTTAATTAATTAATTCGTTCAAAACAAAGGAAAAACAAATAAACACAAGGCAACTCTCGCCCAACAACGCAGAGGCTCCCGCCGGAGCGCTGCAGCAGCTGCAGCAGCAGCTGCTGCAGCAACAACCAGAGCAGCAGCTGCTGCAGCAACAACCACAGCAGCAGCAGCAGCAGCAGCAGCAAGACCGCAGCTAAGTGTTCCCTTTATGTCAGTTCGTCTTGACTTAATTCAGCTGAACTCCACTCAGAGGAGTTCCCCTACTGGGGGGCGGAAGAGATAAACATCAGCAGCTGCAGCAGCAGCTGCTGCAGCAACAACCAGAGCAGCAGCTGCTGCAGCAACAACCACAGCAGCAGCAGCAGCAGCAGCAGCAAGACCGCAGCTAAGTGTTCCCTTTATGTCAGTTCGTCTTGACTTAATTCAGCTGAACTCCACTCAGAGGAGTTCCCCTACTGGGGGGCGGAAGAGATAAACATTTCTTTCCTATTTATTAAGCGGTCTGAGCTGCATGTACACCTCAAGGTGTATTGGCAGATTGAGGTGTATCTGCTGTTTGGCGCATATCTGCTGCTTGAAGTGTATCTAATCAGATTGAGGTATATATGCAGATTGGGAGGTACATGCATATATACATCTATACAAATATATATGTATATATATATATATATATGTATATACATATATACATATATATATATATATATGTATATATGCTCTTGCTGTTTGGGGTGTATGTATGTACACGCAAAACTGTACGTAGACACATCGTCTGAGGTGTATAGACAGCTTAATTAAAGTAAGGCAAAGGCCTTCCAATATAACTGCATGCACATATACACGCAGAATTAGTGACCTTGTAAATACTTTTAGACAAATTCCCTTTCTTTGTGGGTGTTAGTAGGACAATACTATAATATATATATATATATATATTTTACTATAAAATATATATATATATATATATATTTACTAGTATTATCTATATTCATCTATATATATATATATATATATACTGACAAAATAATATATGTAATATTTTATTTTGAGAACTTAAACTAAATTTGAGTGTTTTTAATTTTCGAGGGTTGGCAAAGCGATGTCGGCTCGTCGCACACTGAAGCCTCTACACCCTAAAAGGTATATATTTATATGTATTATATAATATATATACATATATATCCATATATTATATAATATATATACATACATATATGTATATTATATATAATATATATATACCGTAGTTACTATCTCCATGTATGTGCATATATATATGTACATTATATATATTATATATATAGCCACACATAAAAATAAATAAATAAATTATATATATTTGTCTTAATTACAAAAATACACGGATATATTTTAGGGGGGCTGATGCCCTCATGCTCTGCTTCTCAGCTATGCATTTGCATGTGTTCTTACTATTGAGTTCTACGCAGCAACTGCATGCAGCTGCTAGCTGCTGATGCATGCATGCATGCATGCATGCATGCGCGCAGCAGCTGCTGCTGCAGCGGCAATCGAAACATAAAAAACCTTCTGCTGTACAGTGAGGAAAAAGGGCCCCAAGGCACAGCAGCACAAAGCTGCAGCAGCACTATTTGTTGCTGCTGCAAGACAAAAGAAAAAAAGCCACCAACAGCAGCAGCTGCACCTGCTGTTGCTGTTGCTGCTGCTGCTGTTGCTGTTGCTGCTGCTGTCGCTAGTGCTAGACGCATTTGCCTGTCGCACCGTCGTTGCAACGCTGCTGCAAGAAATAAATATATAATGAAAGTACAGTGGCTTGATGGCCTGCAGCCAGCAGCTGAGCTGTACGTACAGCTTAGGTGTACGTACAGCTGAGGTGTACGTACACCTCAAGAAGCAACGGGGGCCCTTGAGAGCTGCGCATACAGCTCAGATCGCACAGCTGCGCTTAACACGCCGTCGTTAGCGCGCACCACCAGCCGCCCACGGCCTTGATGCATACCCGATCCCAGCTCCAGCCTGAACAGCAGCAGCAGACGCAGCAGCAGCAGCAGCAACAGTTGTTGTAAGGTAGATAGGTGTGCATGCAGAGAATTGCATACATGCATTCAATCTCGCTAAAAGCAAAAGAAGCCCCATTGGTAGCAGCAGCAAGCGACGCACCGGGCTAAGACAATGAGGCGATCGGAAGACTTCTGCTGCTGCTCTTGCTTCTGTTCTTGCTGCTGCTGCTGCTGCTGCTGCTTGCTTTGGCCTGGAGGACGCTGCATGCTGCCAGCCACAGCGAGCGTCTGCGCGTGGCCTTCACCTGCTGCAGCGCACAAGGCAAGAGCTCCCCCCTGAGCAACGCACACAGCAGCCGCAGCAGCAGCAGCAGCAGAAGCAGCAGCAGCAGAGAAGTCTAAAATGAGGCTGCCATATGGGGGAAGTCTCCTTGACCTGCAAGGTTTGCAGCAGCAAAGGACAGTCGCAGCCCGCAGCAGCAGCAGCAACAGCAAACAACAGCAACCCGAACAGCAGCATCAGTAGCAGCAACAGCAACAGCAGCAACAACAGCATAATGAAGCTTACGAGCTGCAGACGGCGAACAAGCACCAGCATTGAGGCTTGCAGCTGGGGGTGTAGATTCAGTACGCATGCAGCTGCAGCAGAGAGAAAGAGAGAAACAAATAAAGCAGCACATTACAAAAATAAAAAACAAATAGAACAGCACAGCACAAGAACAAGCACAGCAAAACCCCAAAAGAAAAAGTAAAAAAACAAACATCTTCATAATAAAAGGAGACAATACACCGCAGCAAAACATACAACCAGCAGAAGAGAACGTTAAAAGAAAAGACAAATAAACAAAAATATTATTCCTAAGACCCTAAAGAAGAAAGACAAACAAAGCTGCAGCTCGCCACTGGGCGCAGCAGGCTTCAAACGCTGCAACATGTACACCACCTGCATGCATACATATAGGGGCTTTGCTGCTGCTGCATGCACACCACGTACGCCGCATGCATGCATGCAAGCATAAACGCATGCATATTGGGGCTTTGTTGCTGCTGCATGCACACCACGTACACCGCATGCATGCATGCATGCATGCATAAACGCATGCATATTGGGGCTTTGTTGCTGCCGCATACTTTCGTTTAAAACGAAGTTCTGGCGACACCAGAGTTCAAAGAATTCTTCTGCATGCATTTGCTGTCCCTCAACAAAAGAAGACAGAGACAAAGGCAAACAAACTTCGCGCCGCCAAGGGGTTGCGTCTGGCATCCTAAAGCAAACAAATACAAAGAAAAATAAATAAAATAAAGAAAAAACAAACAAACAAATACAAAAAAAAGAAAGAAATCAAATAAAGTAGAAAAGTAGAAACAACGGAATCAACAAACAAATACAAAAAAAAGAAAGAAATCAAATAAAGAAAAAACAAACAAATAAATAAAATAAAATAAAATGAAGCAAACAAACAAATAAAAACAAGAAATAAACCCGGTATAAATATATATATATATATGCATGTATATAATCTATATATATATATATGCACGTATATTATAAATATATATATATATATATGCATATATATTATATATATATAAACAGATAGAGAGACAAACAAGTAAAAAATGAAAGCAAATAAAGTTACAACAGACATGAGAACAAACAATGATATAATGAGGCAAACAAACAAATAAATATTAAAATCTCTTGTTGACAGTCTCATGCTCCCCGTGAGGGTTTAGGGTTTAGGGTTTAGGGTTTGCAGCAGCAGCAGAGATTGCACATTTGGCCTTACAAGAAGGAGACCCGCATCACAGGGCAGTAGTCAAAAGGCGCCACGCACTGCAGCAGCAAATGCTGCAGCAACAAAAACAGCAGCAGCAGCAGCAGCAGCAGAGGCAACCATCTACCGCAGCACACAGCAAATATAGCTGCAGCATGGCTGCGAACGAAGCCGCAGCGATAGAAGCGGCAGCACCTCCCTGCAGCAACAGCAACAGCAGCAACTGCAGCAGCAGCAACAGCAGCAGGAAGACAACTGCTTCACTGTACGCACATGCGCGACCTGCTCCCTTCCGCTGATGTACTGCAGCTGCTGCTGCGGGTCTTCTGGCTCCAGCAGCAGCCCCCCATCGCGCTGCAGCAGCAACTCGCAGCAAAACTGCTGCAGCATACTGCTTCTCTTGTTGCCGAAGTAGAGGCTGATGCGGCCTGCTAATCCCTTCACTGTCTTCTGCACGCCGATCTAAGTACACCCCACGCACCACAAAGCAGCAGCAGCAGCACACTGCAGCAGCAGCAGCAGAAGCGGCAGCCGCAGCAGCAACAAAGGCAGCAGCAAAAGCAACAAGGAAACAAACAGCTGCCGATGGCTCTATCCCTCCGCACCCTGCAACAGAACCACTACGCAGACAAGCAGCAACAGTACAACAACAACAGCAGCAGCAGCAGCACCTGTAAAGTCTCGTCCTCAAGCAGCACACCACTGTCTGTAAGCAGCAGCGGCAGGAAGCCCGTATCCATACACCTGGCAGCAGCAACGTGAGGCATAGGGCAAACAGAATCTTCTGCTTCTGCTGCTGTTGCTGCTGCAGCTCCTGTTGCCACCTCCGAAAGACCCGTCGTGAGCCCGCGTTGCTGCAGCACAGCAGCAGCAAGCGCAGCAGCAAACGCAGCAGCACCGTAAATCCCTCACTTTTCATCGCCCGTCCAACCACAGCAAAAACGCCAGCGGCAGCAGGAACAGCAGCAGCAGCAAAACCGGCAGCAGGAACAGCAGCAGCAGCAGCAGGAACAGCAGCAGCAGCAGCAGCAAGTAGGCCTACAGCCAAATGCCAGGCGGGTGCCTCCCCTGAAGCAAGGGGCTCGTCTACTGTGTCCGTCACAGATTCGACGCATGCGCTGCTGCTGCAGAAGTTCTCTGCTAGCCGTTGCTGCTGCTGTTGCTGCTGCTGCTGCTGCTGTCGCTGCAGCAGCTTTCCACTGCTGCGGCCTCCCCGCAGCGCTTCTCCCCCAAACCCCACCGGCAACGAACTTGCAGTGCTGCAGCGTCCTGGAGAGAGCGACCTGTCTGCTGCTGCTCTCGCTGCTGCTGCTGCTGTTTGCTGCTTGTGTCGCTCTTCGCTGCGGCTGCCTCCCGCTGCTGGTGCTGCTCCTGTTGCTGCAACAGCCTGCGCAGCAGCAGGGGTTGTAAGCAGCAGTCGCTGCAGGGATTGTAACTCCTGCTGCAGCCGACGCTGCTCTGCAGCGCCATTCAAAATGGTCTCCTCATGCAGCGCTATAGTCCTCTCAGCAACTGAAACAGCAGCAGCAGCAGCAGCAGCAGCAGAAGCAACAGCAGAAGCAGCAACAGCAGAAAAAGCAACAGCAGAAGCACAGACACATGTGCGAAAGAGATGAAGCAACAACCGAGACCCGCAGCAGCAGCAACAATGCCATTGGTGGGTTGCTCACTGCGGCAGCAACAGCAACTGGGGGAGCAGCAGCAGCAGCAGCAGCAGCAGCAGCAGCAGCAAAGCCCTACTGTCTAGGTCGTCCGCGAGCTTGGATGCTCTTTCGCTTTCTTTAAGCCACATTTCCTTTGCTAATTCTGCTGCTGATGATCGCTGCTGCAGCAGCAGCTGAGTTGTTGCAAGGGATTCCTCTGCTGCCTTTTGTGCTGCTCTGCTGGACTTGAGGTCGTGCTGCAGCTGCTGCAGCTGCTGCTGCTGCTTCTCCAGCTGCTCCCGCAGCAACTCCCGCTGCTGCTCGCTAGCAGCAAGAGATGCTGATGTTCGCGCTGCTTCTCCTTCAGCTGCTGACAGCTGCTGCTGCAGCTTCTGCCGTTGCCGCCGCAGTAGCTGCAGCTCTGCACTCTGTTCTGCTGCTACTCTTTGCTGCTCCTCATCCTTGTTGCTGCCTTCTGCTGCTGTCTCTCTGCTCGGCGCGCCTTCCTCGCTATCTCCCTCACGCTGCTGCAGCTGCTGCTGCGCGTCTTGCTGCTGATCCAGCGAAGCATCGAGAAAGGAGACCTTCTGCAGCAGCAACAGGGCCCAGCAGCAGCATCAAAAGGAAGAAATCACACAAGCGCAGCAGCACACACATCACCCCAGCAGCAGCGGCAGCTGCTGCTGCCAGCCAAGCAGTAACAGAGACTGAGCCCCTATTCGTCAAACTGGCAGCAGCAGCACCAGCATCAGCAGCACACAGCAGCCATCCCGACTCCCCACCAGCAGCAGCTATTATCAGTGTACATGAGGAGAAGCACCAGCTGCAGCAGCAGCAGCAGCAACAGCAGCAGCAACAGCAGCAGCAGAAAAGGCATGCCTCACCTTCTCTAGAGGGCTCCCCGTTGTCTTTCCGCTCTGGGAGTGTTCCTGAGGTTGCTGCCGTTGCCTCTGCAGCTTGTGGTTCTGCTGCGGCTCCCACTGCTCTTGCAGCTGCTGCTGCTGCTGCTGCTGCTGCAGCTGCTGCTGCAGCTGCTGCCCCTCAGTCCCACCCCACACAGACGCACTATTTACAAACGGCTCCGCGGGCCACCACCCAGCTGGAGAGGGCCATGCGGGCTCCTCGGAGAAGTTTGGTTTGCTGCTGCTGCTGCTGCTGTCTTGCTGCTGCTGCTGCTGCAGTTGCTGCTGCTGCCGATCCAGCGGAGAAAAATCTGAGCTGGTGTCTGAGAGGGCAGAAGAAAAGGCCCCGAAGTCCTCAAAGGCTGTGAGAGCGCTGCTGCGTCTGTTGCTTCCGTGTCGCTTCTGCTGCTGCTGCTGCAGTCGCTGCTGCTCTCCTGCAGAGTCTCCAGATTCTATTTGCCTCCAGCTGCTGCTGCTGCTGCGAGCAGCAGCAGCAGCTGCTGCTGCTGCTTCCTGATCCAACTTGTCTGCCCTGTCGTACTCCCTAAAATCTGGTGGGGCCCCCTCGACTTGGGGTGTATCACCAGCCGGGCGAGCAGCTGCAGCAGGAGCAGCAGTAGCAGCAGCTGCTGCTGCTTCTGCTGCTGCTACTTCTGGCGTTGCGGTAGTGTATGAAAAGGCGGCGTCTGCAGTAGCGAAGGTAGCTGCTTCCTCTGCATGCCTCTGATCCACAGAATGGCTCCTGCTGCTGCTGCTGCTACGTTTCTCTTTGCGGCTGCTGCTGCGGTTGCTGCTGCGGCTGCTGCGCTTTGTGCTGGAGGTTTTGCTGCTGAGACTGCTGTGGGTGTTCCCCTCAGCAAAGGCACCCGCAAGCGTCTGCTCTCTCTTCTCATCCGTTTGCTGCTGCTGCTGCGGTTCCTGCTGCTGCTGCTGCTCCTTCTCCTCCTGCTGCGTCTGCTGGGGTTGTGGCTGCTGTGTCTGCTGCTGCTGCTGCTCAGCTACGTCTCCTGGCTCATCAGCTAGTGGGAATAGCATGAGCTCGTCAGCTGCTGCAGTCGTAGCAGCAGCAGCAGCAGCAGGCGTGCCAGTTGCTGCAGCAGGAGACTCTAGTTCGGCTGGATCCGAATGGAGGGGTGTACGTACATCTGTGCTGCTTGTGGGGCCCTCAGCTGTATACGCAGATAAAGAAGGCGCTTGAACCTCCTCTGCTGCTGCTGCTGCTGCTGTGGGGCTTGCTGCTTCTGCTGCTGCGGCTCCTGTCACAGCAGTTACGGCTGTAGCTGCTACGTTGGAAGCACCGCCTTCGTCTTTCGGCTGGCCCAACTCTTGTTGCTGTTGCTGCTCTTGCTGCTGCTGTTGCGGCTGCTGCTGCTGTTGCTGTTGCTGCTGCTGTTGCACTTCCTGCTGCTGCTGCTGCTGCTGCTGCAGCTGCTCCTGCTCCAACTGCGCCCGCACCGCCTGCACGTTCTGCAGCGTCGTCTCCACATTATCAAGCACCTGCAGGTACACCCCAGAAGCAGCAGCAACAGCAGCAGGAAAATATGCTGCAGCGGCAAAACAGCAGCCCACAAAGCTGCAGCAGCAGCAGCAGCAGCAGCGGCAGCATGCATGCATGCATGCTCACGTACCCTTGAAAGGTCTGCGAAGCGATCAAGGCGCCCCTCATCAACGAGTTGTGCTGCATCTTGCTGCAGCTGCTGCTGCTGCTGCATTAGCTGCTCCTTTAGAGACTCTATCATAACAATCCCTTCAGTAGTTGGCTGCTGCAGCAACTCCTGCAGCAACTCCATGCTTGAGAGCACCTCTACACACATAGCAGCAGAAGCAGCAGCAGAAGATGCAGCAGCACAAGATGAAGCAGCAACACTACCAGAAACAGCACAAGCGGCAACAGCAGAAACAGCAGCAGCAACAGCAGCAGATACCTATGCGCTGCTGGGACCCAGGCAGCAAAAGCTCCACTGAGCAAGACCCTTAATGCTGCAGCAGCAACAGCAACTGCAACAGCAACAGCAGCAGCAACTGCAGCAGCAACCCACCAGCAATGTGTAGGTCTACTGATCCACTAGAGGAAGGGGGGTTTGGCTGAGCAGGGCGACCTTGCTGCTGCTGCTGTTGCGGCTGGACTTGCTGCTGCTGTTGTTGCTGCTGCTGCTGCAGCGGCTGCTGCTGCAGCGGCTGCTGCTGCAGCTGCTGCTGCTGCGCTTGTGGGGCGTTCGGAGGCTGCAGCGTGTCTTGACGGTAGCGCAGCAGCTGCTGCTGCTGCAGCAGCACCTGGGCTGAGGAGCCGCAGAGAGCAGCAACTTCTGCTTCTGGTAGCTGCGGGGGCCCCTCAATGCCTACGGCCTGCATCGCTGAAACAGCACGTTTGAATTCTTGCTGCAGCCCTGGCGGATCTGCTGCTGCTGCTGCTGCTGCTGCAGTGTACATGCACCGCGCAGCCAGAGAGCCGCAGCAGGTCATCTCTGTCTCTGTCGTTCCTGCTGGAAATAGAACCTTCAGCCGAGCTTGGGCAGCGAGAGCTTGCTGCTGCTGCTGCTGCAGCTGCTGCTGCTGCTTCCGCCGAGCCACAGGCCGAGGAGCGCGCAGCAGCAACAGCGCAGCAAACTGCTGCAACCACTGGCTTAGCGGCAGGGATGCCGTTAAGGCTGCAGCAGTCCCTCTGCTGCTGCTGATGCGGCTGCTGCTGCTGCTGCTGCTGCTGCTACTACTGCTGCGGGTCCCCAGCGACTGCGCTGCAGCAACTGGCAGCAAGGCAGCAACCATACGGAAGTAGCTTGAAGATTCAAGCAACTGCTGCAGCAGCAGCAGCGTAAGCAACTTGCTGTCTGCTGCTGCTGCAGGCTGCAGCAGCCGCTGCTGCAGCAGCACCTGCGCAACAGCCCGTGCCTTCCCAAGGTCCTCACAAGCAGAAGCAACGGCGCCTGCTGCTGCTGCTGCTGCTGCTGCTGCAGCTACGCGGTCTCGGCTTGAGTTCGAACCGTACGGCCTGGGTGTAGTTGCTGCTAAGGCCTGCAGCAAAATCATGCAGCAGGACGAAGCAACAGCAGCAAAACATGCAGCAGCAGCGGCAACAACCAGTCACTGCTGCAGCAGCCGCAGCACCCGCTGCTGCAGCAGTCGTGTCTGCAGCAAAACATCGCTAAAAAGCCACTGCTACTAACACTACTACGACTGCTGCTGCTGCTGCTGCTTCTGGAAGAGCGTGGCTTACCTGCTGCGCTGCAGCAGACGCGTCTGGCGTTGTTGCATTAGCTGCAGCAACTTTCTGCTGCAGTCCTCGCAGCTCCTTTTGCTGCTGCCTCTGAGCGGATGAACGCCACGTAAAGATTCCCATCTTGCTGCTGCAGTTGCTGCTGCTGCTGCTGCTGGTGGTATTCCTCGTGCTGCCGAGCAGGCAGCGGCGGCTTTTCTTGCTGCTGCTGCTGCTGCTCTTGCTGCAGCAGCACAAACTCCTCTGCGGGGTTAGTCCCTATGGGACAGTGAAGGCATAAAGACAGCCTCATCTAAATCCCCCATTCACACCTGCGGTGTATATACAGGAGCAGCAACTGCTGCTGCAGCAGCAGCCGATGCTGCTGCTGCTGCTGCTGCTGAAACAAACCACGAGCCCCTCTGCTGCTGCTGCTGTTGTAGTGCAACAAAGCTGCTGCCCAGTTCTCGGTTGGCACAGCGCAACTTCTGCTGCTGCAGCTGATGCTGCTACTGCTGATGCTCCAGTTGCTGCTGCTGCTGTTGCTGCTGCTGCTGCTGCTGCTGCTGGGGGAGCAGCAGTGCCTTCTATAGGCAGCAATTGTGCAGGTGTTGTCGATATTGTCTAAAGCTAACTGACGAAATACTTGAAAGGAGAATGGTGTTACTGCTGGGCTGCAGCAGCAGCAGTAGCTGCTGCTGTTGCCGTTGCTGTTGCAGTTGCTGCTGCATGCAACAGGGAGAAGGTGGTGAGTTGCTGCAGCAGCACCAACACTATATCTGTTTCATGACTTAAAACAACTATAAATAAGGCGTTTATTTTCGATAGGACAGCAGCAGCAGCAGCAGCAGCAGCAGCAACAGCAACAGCAGCATAGGGGGCCAATCGACAGTCAGCGCTGCCGCTGCTGTTGCTGCTGCTGCTGCTAGCAGCAGCAGCAGCAATCGGCAGCAGTAACTCCAGCTCCCCTGATTGTTGTTAACGTGTCTATACCTCAATTTCTCTGTATTTTAAAAAGAAGAATTTAAGCAATAAAGGATCTTCTTTTACCTCTGACTATTCTGCTGCTGCTGCTGCTGCTGCTGCAGGGCTGCTGTTGCCGGGGCGGCAGCGGCGCAGCCCACCAGGAGTAGCGCCTGCAGCAGCAGCAGCAGCTACAGCAGCTGCAAGAGCGGCTGCAGCAGCTAAAAAATATATTTTCATATCCTTGTTTGTATTGCTGCTGGACCCTCTCTCCCCCCTTGCATGAAGATGCTGTTCTCCTTCAGCAAGGGCCCGCGCAGCAGCAGCAGCAGCTGCTGCAGCAGCGGCAACGGCAGCATTAGCGCTGCAGCCGTTAGAGCAGCAGCAGCAGCAGCAGCTGTTGGTGTTGCTGCTGCTGCTGTATTCTGATAGGCACGGGCTTCGCTAGACACCTACGATGTGCTGCAGCTGCAGCATTGGGGTGTACAGACACGCCGAGTATTAGCCGCAGCAAGAAACAGAGCTAACTGCAGCAAACAAAAAGACGGACAGACAGACAGACAGCAGCAGCAAACCAGAAGAAGCAGCAGCAGACTAGAAGCAGCAGTAGCAGAGCAAATATCCTTTAGATAAGAAGAAGGCTGTTATAGACAAACAAATACCTTTAAAAAGACAGCAGCAAACAGATAAAAAGAGAATTGAAGACACAAAAAAGAAAATGCAGCGACAGAAGGAAGTGAAACAAAAGGCGGAGACACTTAAACAACAGCAGCAACAGCAGCAGCAACAGCGGTAGTAGCAGCAGCAGCAGCAGCTGCTGCTGCTGCTGTATCTGAGTTCATACAAGGAAGCGAAGAGGGCCTCTAAATAACCCTCTTTTTATTTTTCTTCAAAGCATCTTGAATAAATAAATTTAATATATTTTCTTCTGTATAATAACATTATAAAAGAAATAAACATATCTAATGCAATTAAAACTATCTTTTCGCTCTCTTTCTTCCTAGCAGATTGCTCGCAAATAAAATAAACAAAACCCTAAAAAAGAAAAAACTAACAGCAACTCTAAGGAAACCACCGGGGCCTTCTTTTAAAACCCTAAACCCTAAACCCTTCAATATAAATAATATAATTAAGAGTTAAATGAAAGTAAATAAAAGAAAACAAATCAATTAAATATTAAGAAGTTAGCAGTGCTAAACAAGAAGAGTAGAATGCGAAGAAATAGACGGTGAATTAAAACAAAAAGAGTAAAAGAAAGAAGATAAATAAAAATATTTAAAGAAAAGAATTCAATAGAGAGACTCTAATGAAGATATATAAATGTATATATAATATATACATACATATATATATATATATATATATATATTTATATATATATTTATATATATAATAAACATAAAGAGTTAAAAGATAATAATTTAATTAATAAATTCTTTCCTTTTATCTCTTTACATGCATATATAGTACAAACAAACAACTTTATCTAACTCTATTACTTTTATTCTTGTTATTATATTTAATAAAGAGATATAAATTAATGCAATCAAAGGAAATGAATTAAAAAAGAAAGGATTAACAAGAAACAAATTAAATAAATAGAACAAAAAGAAAAGAGCTGAAAAAAAGAGTTAGAAGAAAAGAGTATTAAAAAAAGTAAAGAGTTAAAGGATATAAGAATGAAAGAGAGGGGTTTTAAAGAAGATATATAAATAAAACAGATTAACAAAAGAAATTAATAAAAAGATATTAAAAGAATTAAATAAAAAGAATTAAATAAAAAGAATTGAAGGGGAAATGTGTTTTTAAATAAAAAGAGTTAAAAGAAAAAAGAGTTAAATAAAAAGAGCTAAAAGAAAAAGAATAAAACAAAAGAATTAAATAATAAAACAAAAAGAGTTAAA